GGACTCGGGACCACAGCCCTTAGCCTCACATTCCTGCCCGGGCTCGGGCCACGCCACCCGCCCCTGGGCCCTGTCTCATTCCTCTGCCACCCAGCACTGTGACCGTCCCCACCCGAGCCAGCCTCTGTCCCCCAGACTGAGCCCCGCTGGAGGAAGGCGAAGGAGGGCTGCAGTTGTGGGCAGCAGGGGGGCAAGGTCCTCGGAGCGCAGGGGAAGGGGGCAGGCGCGGCCCAGTCTCAGCACCACTTGACATTCCTGGCTCCCCACTGGAAGGGACCTCTGTGCTGGAAGGACCCAGCAGCGCACCTGTGTCGGGCCTCCCGAGTGGCCCTCTGCCCCCCACAGCTCCCATGGCCATCCTAACTCAGCACTCCACGGCCACCCCATCTCACCCCGCCCTCAGGTGGTGCCCTCGCCACCGCAAAAGCAGAAGCGGCAGGTGGGATGCCCCGGCTCAGTCCCCTGCCATTAAATCCGCAGACAGGCCTGCCTGTCCCCTGGTTGTTTCTTTCCTGCCACCTGCGACCACGGGCCCCCGCCCTCGCCTCTCCCCGCCACCCACTTCCCTCCGCCGCTGGCTCGGGCGGGAACGTGGGTATCCTTCAGTCCTGACCAAGCCCGGCCTTCCCCTCCTCTCTGCCCCGCACCTTAGAACTTTGTCACGAGACCACCTTGGGCACAAGAACAAGTCACGTTCATTTCCCCTTCCCTCCCCAGGCAGTGCCCGTGCCCCAGCCAGGGCACTCAGAGGCACTGCCAGACCACTGAGGCGACAAGTATTTAGGAAGGAGTGGCTAAGCGATTTGGGAACAGATGCCAAGGGGGAGGGGCAAGTCCAGGGCACACCCTGGGCACCGCAGAGAGGTGCACAGCTGGCCTCACCAGCCTCCCTTGCCTGTGTTTCCTGGGGCCCCTGTAACAAAGCGCTGCACGCAGGGAAGCTTAAGGCAACAGAAAGGTACCCTCTCCCAGTGCCGGAGGCCGGAAGGCTGAGCTCCAGGACCAGCGCCCTCCAGGGGCTCAGCTGGCCACGTAGACCGGTCACTCCGGTCTCTCTGTGTCTTCATATGACATTCTCCTCTGTGTGTCTGTCTTGCTCTGTTTTCCCTTTACAAGAACACCAGTCATATTAGATTTGGGGTCCAGTCTCCTCCAGGGTGACCTCACCTTGACCTGAGGTCTGCACACACCCCACTTCTGAATAAGAGCACACTCCCTGGGAGTCTGTCCTGCCCCTGCCCCCGGCTCAGCTCTTCACTGAGCTCCGGGGAGAGCAGCAGGCTGACCCAAACCAAACGAACAGACAAAAGACTCAGATGCTGGTACAGAACGAGCCAGCAGCCCGATGCGTGCCCCAGGCAGGCAGACTCCATGCCCCAGGGCCTCACAGCTGGCAGGGCTCAGGGCTCCCGGGTCGGGGACGCTCTGCGGCAGCGGGGCCGTTGGCAAGAACCTGGCCAGTGGCTCCTGCCTTCAGCTGGGCCTGTGGCCTGTCTGTCCCCACCCACACTGTTGAAGGCAACTGTCCAGGGCTTTTCGCTGTTGAAGGCAACTGTCCAGGGCTTTTCGCTCCCATTACGGAGGCCTCTCCTCAGCCTGATGCTGACAACCAGCTCTCCTTAACCCCCTCACGGCCCCCGGGGCTGGGGGCAGAGCTGAGGCTCCCACCCAGGACTCTGCAGGAGCGGTAAGTAGACGAGAAGGAACTCAAGTGGGGGCTGGCCGCCTCCTGTCCCATAAGCTAGGGTGGTGAGTCACACCCTGCACATGGCTGCATCCTCAGGTGCCATCCCCGCTCTCCCCGACCCCTCCTGTAACCAGAGGACTTGCCGCTTCCATCCAGCTTGTGCAGGAGGGAGACCACAGAGTTCACGTAGACCTAGGTGAACAGGGAAGGGAGGGGCTTTCTGGGACAGGGTTGGCTGGAATCCGGATCCTGCAGTGCCTCTTGGCCCAGGTCCATGCAGAGCAGCTGAGAAGGCCCCACGTGGACAGGACTATAGGCCAGGCTTCAGCCTGGGGGCGGGGGGCGGGCAGTGGCCTTGGTCCTCCCGATGCCTGTGGCCTGGACAAGGGACCGTAAGTCACCCAGGTTCGCCGGGAGCTGATGGTGTGGGCCTAGAGACTCGCGCGCCCCCCTGTAACACTTTGGCTCCAGCGTGGCTACAGAGGGTCCTGCCCTTGACTCTCTGTGGTGCAGCCACGTGCCCGTGAGGGGCAAATGAGGCTTTGCAAAAGGCCCAGGATGGCACGAGAGCGCCAGACCCCGAGATGGTGGCCCGGGATGCGGTGGAGCAGGTCCTCGGAGCCGCAGCCGGGCCTTCTGCTAGCCGCCAGGGGGCGCTGTGCCGCTCCCGGGGAAGGGACAGCCGCGTCCCTGGCCCAGTCCTGGGACCTCAAACCTTCAAAATCCGGGCCTGAGGATGACCACAAACCTTCGGGATAAAAACCAAATAAACGGAGGTGCAGGGGGCCCTTCCTGACCCAGCTGGGGTCTTGGTGCTCAGAGCCCCCTCACAGAGCCCCACAGACGCCTACAGACTTTTGGGGGACCCAGTAGAGCTGTGTGCTGGGGGTAGTCCTCCAAGGACCCAGGCCCCTTGGGGAATCTTCTGGCATGGCATCACCGAGGGGGACTCTTAGCAACACAGAATATCCATGTAGGGGCACGAGCCTGAAGTGGAGGAGGGACCCAGCTCCTCCTGGGCCCCCAAAATGTGATAACCGCCTGTGAGAAGAGAGGGAGGGAGGGGTGGGGACCTCCCCGGGTGGGGACCTCCCCATCTGTCTGAGTGTCCCCACCATGACAGAGGGCCCAGGCCAGGGCAATCAATGGACACCTCCGGTCTGGGTGCTACCCTGTGGCAGTGATGAGAGGGCTCTGGTGAGGATGCTCTGCTATCACCTGACACCGGGTGCCTGTGAGTGACAGAGATGAGAGACCTGAGAGGGACAGTAGCTGTGATCTCAGCTCTAGGAGCCTGAAATGAGGAAGAAGCATGAGGTCCTGGGTAAGGACGTTCAGCTGTCACCTCCATTCTGGAGCCAGAAGCATGAGGGACCCCGTGAGGACAGTCACTGGTCACCTCATCTCTGACATAGTCCTTAGGGCCTCACTGAATTGAGACAAATGTCACAGCTCTGGGGCCCTAGGAGGGGGAAGAGACACAACGGACTAGTGAGGAAAGATACCTGTCACCTAAGCTCTGGGTGGCAGCATTGGCGCTGAGGGCTTTCAACTGGCACTGAATCTCTGCAGTGGGACACAGCAGGAGGGCCCAGGCGAGGACAGCCAACAGTCCCCTTAGCTCTGGGTGCCTACACTGGGTGAGAGGCGTTGGGCCCAGGTTTCAACGTTCAACTCACATTTAACTGTGGGATGCGTGAACCAGGGCGAGGCTTAGAGGCCCATCCTCAGGTAAAGGCATGAGGGGCAGGCGAGGGCACACAGGTAGCACTTCAGCGATGGCAGCCACCCTGGGGCAGAGACATGAGGCCCAGCAGGGGGCACTCAAATGCCACTTTACCTCCGTACAGCTCCACACCACAGAGACGTGAGGGCCCTGGTGAGGTGAGTTGACTACAAGCACAAATCTTGGTAGCTACACTGGAACGGAGAGTGAGGGACCATGGAGATCATTTAACTGTCACCTCGGCTCTGGATTCCTACACTGTGGCAGAGGTGGCCTCAGGTGAGGGCATTCAACTGTCACCGGAGAGCCGATTGCCTAATCTAGGGTATAGGCAAGAGGTCCTGCAATAAGACAGTTGCCCGTCACCTCAGCTCTGGGTGCCTACTCAGGGGTAGAGGCGGGAGGTGCTGGCACGGGGGCCTGAGCATGCAGGCCCACGTGAGCACTGTCAAGTGACAACTCCGTGCTCGGTGTCTACACTGAGAGGGGAACGAGGGATCAGCTGAGCACGCGGGCTCTGGGTGCCTACACTCAGGCAGGGACACAAGGAGCCAAGGAAACACAGTGAACTGGTGCCGCAGCTGTGGGAGCTACATTCTCTGCCATCTCCCGCTGGGTGCCTGCACTGGGGCAGGGCCATGAGGGTCTATGACAAGAGGGTCTCATGCTCTCCAAGTCCCCATCGAAAAACATTCCTGGAGAAACAAAGCTGCCCCTTGAGGCACAGAAGGCTTGGGATGAGTCCCAGCCCTCTGGCCCTCTCGAAGGTGGTGCCCCTGGGGTTGGTGAATGTGCCTCTGGGCCCTCAGGGGGGCTCATTAAACCAGCCTTTCCAAAATGCCTGCTCTGAGCAAGGTGTAAACACTGTCCTCTAAAAACCAGCCATCTGGCCGCTGCCCTGTGCCTGGCAGGAGCTTCGTCTACTGGGCACCACGACTGCCAGCATTACAGGGAAGAGTGCTAAGGAGGGCACGGTGCCCAGGGCTTGGTACTCACAGATATGTGAGAGTTTGGCAAATGGTCAGTACTATTTCTGGTCCCAAATTCCATGACAAAACTCAAATACCAACCCGTGACAGCAGCACGGGGGCCTGAAACTTATCACCTTGATCTCGTTAGGGAGAACGAGGGAGTGTTGTGAATGCCAGTGTAGACGCTCCTGGATGCTAACCAGAGCTCTGTCACTGCCTGGCTCTATCAACTTTCTCTGTATTCTGGGTTCTTTCCTTAGGAAGGTTTCCCGAAAGTGGTGTCATTGGGTCAAAGGGCACGGATGTTTCAGTGATTCTGAAGCCGCCGGGCTGCTGCCGTCCAGAAAGA